GGACCATAAAAGAAACTCAATGAAATCAAAGGTAAAACTCCTAATTAAATTTTAGAAAAAAGTCTTATAGCTCACTTGCATATGTAGTTTTTAATATTTCATTTAATTTATCATTTCTAAAGCACTTGTGGCTTATTAGGAAATTATTTGAGAAGTAAAATACAAGTAATATTTAGATAAAAATAGCAAGTTTGAAATTGAGTATCTTTCAGCTAGCTCATCATGTGGTCAGTTGAAGGTCTAATGAACCAAAAATAATATTTTTTTGCATTTTTTTAAAATTGAGGAATTGGGGGACAGGAACAGTGTTGGGGTATTGGGGCGGGGAACCAGCCAAGTTGTTGTTCTTCAATCTTAGTTGTGGAGGGCACCAGTCGCCATCTGGCTGCCCATCGGCAGCTCCTGGCCTCTAAGCTCAAGGTGCTGTGTTACAATCTTAGTTGCAGGTGGGCGTAGCTACCATCCCATTCGGGAGTTGAACCAGCAGCCTTGTTATTAAGAGTGCATGCTCTAATCCACTGAGCCATCCAGGTGGAGCTCAGCTGAAGGTGCTGAGTTCAGTCTTAGTTGCGGGCGGGCATAGCCCACCATCGAACAGGCAGTCTTGTTGTTAGGAGCACGTTTTCTCACCAGCTGAGCCACCCTGCCACCTGTTGGCAGTTCAGCGGCAGCTCAGCTCGGGCACAGTGTCACTGACCCATGTGGGAATTGAACCGACGGCCCTGTTGCTTAGAGCTTGTGCTCTTAAGCTAACTCTTAAATAACTGAGCCACTCGGCTGGCCCTTTTTTGCATTCTTAATGTTAATGTCTTTCTGCCTGGAATATTCTTCCACCGGATATATGTAATGTGAAGTCCTTACCTCCTTTAGATCTTTGCTGAAAAGTGACTTTGCCAATGAAACCTAGACTTATCTCCCTATTTGAATTTACAACCCTTTCCTTTTTTTCTGGCACTGCTTCTCCTTACCTGCTCTGTTTTTCCCTATAGCACATTTGGACCCGCCATATACTTATTATATTTATGGTTTATTGTCTGTCCCTTTCCAGGTGGCAAAAGCTTCATGAGGGCAATGATTTTTATTTCTTCTGTTCACAGATGTATCCTAAGCATCTAAAACAGTGCCTACCACATAGAAGGATTTCAGTAAATAGTCTTAGCACGAGTGTTGAATGAATGTATATTTCAAAAGGATTTCTCTGGCTGCAGTATTGAGAATAGACTGTGGGGATGAGGTTTCAAGGTTGGAAGTCAGGAGACCATTTAGGAGATGATTGCAACAATTCTGAGGGGAGATGATGGAGCAGTGAAGGTGGTGAGAGTCGTCAGATTCTGGATATATTTTGTAGGTAGAACCAAAAGGATTTACTGATGGAATGAATATAGGGTATGAAAAAATAAAAATAAAAAAGAGAGAGGGATTAAGAATGACTCAAAGGTTTTGGCTTGAGCTATGGGTAGCATGAAGTTGCTGTTTACTGAGATGGTGAAGATGACAGGCGAAGCAGATTTGAGGAGGGAGTTGAGAGTAGGGGTTCTATGATGATGAGGCAGATGCACAGAAGAGTTTGTATTTCAGTGGAAAGGTTTGGACTGGAGATATAAATTTGGGAGTCATCAGTGCTAAAAAAGCTGGAAAGAGCGGCCAAGAGAGGTAGGAGGAGAACCAAGATAGTGCCTATTGAAGAAAGGGCAAGTGGTACAAAAAGGAGTGCTGATCACCTTTGTTAAATGCTGCTAGGAGGTAAAAATGAGTTGGAGAATTGAGCACTGGAATTGGTAAAATGGAGTTCATTAGTGAACCTGAAAAGAGCAATATAATAGTGTGTGTGTGTGTGTGTGNCAACATGGGCCAGTGAAGCAACATCCTCCACAACTAGACTGAAGAACAAAAGGACAGCAACTTGTCTGTTCCCCTTCCCTGATTCCCCAAATAAAATCTTTAAAAAAAAAAAAAAGAGTAGGAAACTAAAATTCATGTGTGCCTACTCTTCGGTAGGCCCTAGGGAATTCACATAGCTTGTTTCATATTTGTGATTAAGTGAGGGAATTACCCTTGTTGAACTTTAAAATTTCTTTCAGTTTTAAGATTCTCAGAAATTATGCATTTAGAGTGGTAGTGTGTTACTTCCTGTTCTGGGCTTAAAAACCTGGGTTAGTGGAAATATTAATATGATGTAGTCAGGATGCCTTTATCCAAATGAGGCAGTTTGATCCACATAGCCAGTAATGGTTTTGATTTATGATAGAGGAGAAATAGGAATTTTCACCAGGAGTTGTGTTACACTGAGCCAACCAGGGAGGAGGAATATCTACTTCTTTCTCCCATCAGTCATGTTTAGACAGCCTGGCATTCACCCTTCGTACTGCAGAAGTACAGAGGTCTTCACAAGAAAGGCTTATGGGAAAGAGATGTCCCCAGCTACTCTAAGGAGGTATACTAAGTACACCGATGTGGTTCTGCAGACGGAGGGTGTGAGGGTGTGTGTGTGTGGGGGGTGTGGGGGTGTGTGGCAGGGAACCTCGTGTAGTTCTAAAAATAGCAGCGAGTTGACAGTTGTGCCGCCTTCAACAAAAAAAATCAGTGATAAATCAATGAAGACCATCTCTCTTGGTTTCTCATTATGAGTCTTATAAATTATTTCTAAATAAAATTGAATTGTCATAGTTATATTTTTTATTAAGTTAAAATTTTAATAAGTATGTTAATATCCAACCTTTATAAAATGAATCATGCTTTGCAATGTATTTTTACATGCTTGCTTCATTTAGTTCTGTAAAGTAGTAATTATTACTATCTTCATCATATAGATGAGGAATGTAAAGCATCAGAATTTCCTATGTAGCATGTAAAAAATCATTAGCCTTAACTTAAAAAAATGTAAATTTTAAACAATGAGAGAAATGATTAGCATATCGACGTGATGACCATTGGCAAGACTATTTCAGAAGGTTAGGGAACAATGAAAATCTGGCTGTTACAAGGAGATCCTGAGAAGATTAAGAGCAAACAGGGCCAAGGTACCCATTAGGCGTAATAGTACCTAGGGTCCATGATACTTTTAGGGGCCTGTGAAAATATTTTAGTTTCTCTTAAAATTTGAAGAAAAATGAATATATCAGTAATGAATCCAGCCTGTAATATGTCTGTGTCTATAGTATACTTGTCTAAGTTATAAAACATAATTTATATATATATATATATTTACTTAATTTATCTGTGCTCCCAGAGGTGAAAGTGCCCAGGGCCCATGAAAGTCAAAACGCTGCTCTGTTAGTGAGGTCCTAACAGGAACCTGTCTGGTTGCTCTGTGCATGCTCCACTGAGTTCAGATTTCAGAAGGTTGATACACAGTTCGGAAGAAGAAAACAAAAGCAACTATCAGGATACTAATGTTTGAAATGAGTTGAGTCTTGCAAAAGAAATGCAGGCAACAAAAAGGATTTTCAACTTACATAATAAGTATAAGGGCGATCAAGGGGGAGACAGGCCTCTTGCTAAAAAATGTTGCTTGCTCACAAAGAGACAGGGATGTGATGGAGCTGTTTGTCATCACCTGCCCCATCGAGAGCTGGTATGATGTTCAGCCATTCACTTACTCTTTCATCCGCGTTGCTTTGAAGAGTCTTACACTATACCACAGGACCCTATCTGTTCCACAGTCACATGGACCATGTCTGGATATCTGATCTATGTGTAGCTAGCCTACAAGCTTGTCAGTAAACCTGGACATGTGACCTGTGGCCTGGGGATTGGGTCAATCATATACTCTGTCTCTCATGTATTTGAACTAAGAGGCACAGAGGGCAGTTCCTGCTTAGTAATGAGACAGGAACAAAAAGACACAGGAAGTAAGTGAATCACATAAGGGGGAGGAGTGGTAGGATGCTCCCTAGACAGGGGATGAGCTCTCAGGAGCTACTTCTAATCCCAGGCCCACTTCCAGCTCCCGTTCCCAGGAAGTGTTATCAGTGCTGTCCTTGTCCTGGAGTCTTAAGGAAACCCCCTTCCTTTAGCTGAATCCCTTGTTTCTTGTAAATAGTCTTAATGAGAGTGGAACTATTCAACTCATGCTTTGCTTCTGTCTTCTATGTCAAGAGGGATTTCCTTGTGATCTATAAAAGACAACGTAAATAGAAGTACTGCGAGGAAATGTCGCCTTCCTTAATATAAAATTTATCTCCAATGGAAAGAGAATTACCCAATGAACTAAAGCCCAAGAAATGCAAAGAGATGAGGTAACTACTAGCATACTTTTGGTTGCAGGCAACAGAAAACCCAACCTAAAAGGGCTTAAACTTTAAGACAGGGGAGATATTATGCTGTATAAGACAGTGTCATGCCCCTTGCTCAACCCCCCCTGCTTCCTCGCCAACCTTCTCTCCTGTACTTCCAGCCTCGCTCATTATTCCCTACTGTTTAAAATCTTATTTCTTCGTAGATTAGGAAACCATAGCTAATAGTGGGTGTTATACCAAATGCTTCTTTCTTGCTGGGGCTCTGAAAAAAATATGCGCCGAGATGATAAAAAAAATACTGAATGCCAAATCAATTGCTTTCATTTGATTCTGAATTTCAGTGTATCATTCTAGAATNTTTTGAATTTTCTCATAGTACCTAAGACAGTTCCTCATGCTAACAATGGCCCAATAAACATTTATTTAATTATTTTATTTATACTGGTGCCTTTTGGAAGAGAAACTAAACAATGAATAATCTGTAAATCTCGTCAGTTTATGAACATAGTTCTCTGGGGGAAATAGCCCCTGTAACATTAACTAAATGTATTTTCTAAAAACAGCATTTTTAACAGGAAAGAGTAATATCAACATTTCATTTTTAGCTAGTTTAACATAAAAAATAAACATTCCTTTCTAAAAAAGTAACATAATCTTAAGCTTTCCAGTAGAAGAGTGTGGTTTCATTATCCCAAAGCTAATGAACAATCATTAGAGCAATCAGTAATGCTGTTTAATAATATTCTTTTTTTTTTTTTTAAGGTACAGGGAAAACAATGGTGATGGACATGTTTTATGCTTATGTGGAAATGAACAGGAAAAAAAGGGTCCATTTTCATGGTTTCATGCTAGATGTTCACAAAAGTAAGTTAATGATCTGGAAGAAGTAATTTTTAAGTAGGCAAACACTATAAAATAGTTTTTTTTCATCTTTTAAAATTCTTAATATTTTAATCTTTTAAAAAATAGATTTTTTCTCACAGTAAGATTTTATTTGGTTTCATTTGATTTGTGCTATGTTGAAACACAAATGTGTTTCAGATAGTAATGTGTCCAGAGTTGGTCCTCCAGACAAACCAGTACTTCCAAATAAGAGAACAGAGGTCACTGTATGAAGGTTAGGCATTTTCTGTTTCTACTAAGGATCAGTAAGAAATGTTAAAACCTCACCTGTTTCAAGAAGTTATTCTTGATTAGGTCATTTCTGTTGTGTCACCTTAGCATGTTGGCATTCTGTTTGTACTTGTATGTATGCTTTATTGCTTTGTCAGTGTCCTTATGTTATTTCATTTTTGCATTAACTGTCTGTCAGCTACACTATAACCTCTCCAGGGAAGGAACATTGTATTTTTCTTCTAATGCTTTCAGCATTTAGTACACATGTAATGAGTGATGTGGGACTGACTTTAGTGTATTAGGCTAGAGATAAGGGAACATCCTGACCAGATACACATAGGGCAGGACCACCTCCTCCGCCCACATCCCTGAAATTCTCAGGACTATGACTATCTATTGATCCATCTAGTCATGTAGTCTATCACTTTGTCATCTCTGAAGTGATTGAAACATAGAGATGGTATGACTCACAAAGTATCCTTACAACCATGGGACTATCATAATATGTGAACAACTTATTTTTGAGTAGAGAAAATGCAACCAATTCCAATAATCACATTTGATTGTATGTGGAATTTAAACTTAATTTGTATGTTTACACGAAAGTTTCATTTGAAGATTTAAAAAACATGCTCTAGTTGTCTAAAATATACTACTAATACAATATTTGATTTTATGTTTAATTTCATCCACCTAAGGAATACACCGCCTTAAACAGAGTTTGCCAAAAAGGAAACCAGGATTCATGGCGAAATCATACGATCCAATAGCTCCCATAGCTGAGGAAATCAGTGAAGAAGCATGTCTCTTATGTTTCGATGAATTTCAGGTAAGGAGAGATGTTTCACAGATGTAGCATGGTATACTGAATGAAGTGTGAAGATTTAAAGTTTGTTCTTCATTTTATCATTGTTTTATAAATTGATTTGACACATTATCTGTTATGTTACTATCTAGTCCAGGGATTAGTTAGCACACCACAGCTTGCACAGGGCAGATACGGCCCATCTGCTTTTAGGTGGCCAGTGGGAAAAGAGTAGTTTTATATTTTTAAAGGGTCATTAAAAAAAGGAAAAGAAAATGCAACAGAGATCATATGTGGCTTGCAAAGCCTAAAATATTTACTACTCAGCCTTTTATAGGAAAAGTTAGCCCACCCTGATATTCTAACTCAATGGGTTCACATTTCCCCACACCATGGAGATAATGTAATGATTACAAAACAGTGTCTTTAAAATGTTTGAGTTTTAAGTGTTATATAAAAAACAAGTGATTCACATATCTCATTTAAGCCTTACAACTTCTCCGTGCTAAAGGGAGGAGATTGTCCTAGTTGAACTTTTAAAGTTTCTTCTAGTTTTAAGATCCTCTACAATGTGCATTTAAGTTGGTAGTAAGTTATTTCCTGATCTTTATTTCCTATGAGAGCAAATATGGCATGAAGGCAAACGATGTGTCTTATGCTTATTCTGTATCCTGTGTCATGCCCAATGTAGTAGTAGTAGTAGTAGTAGTAGTAGTAGTAGTAGTAGTAATAATAATAATAATAATAATAATAATAATGATAATATATACTCTAGGTTAAGAATTACTTCCTCTTTATTTGACTGCTTTCTTTAGTAGTTTGGAAATGTAATAGTTGGTTTTTCTGTAATGCTTGTCATAAAAGCAACTGATTATTGGAATGAAAATAGAAAAATCCNGGATTCTGTTGAACTTGGAAGTAATTGAGGGAACAAAAATATCTTTATAGAATTGATTTTGGTTCTAAATATTTTAAAACCTTTTTTTTTTTTTTAAATTGGGGAACAGTGACCAGGACCCATCAGCTCCAGGTCAAGTAGTTGTTTCAATCTAGTTGTGGAGGGCGCAGCTCAGCGGCCCATGGTGGGATCAAACTGGCAACCTTGGTTTGGTGAGCACTGCACTCTAACCAACTGAGCTAACCAGCTGCCCCTAAACCTTTTGATAGACAATGACAAATTGACTTCCTGAGGGATTGGTCTTACACGCCCACCAGTTGTATGTCAGAGTGCTTATTTTCCCACATCCTCACCAACATAAAAATGGTGTATGATTGGTGTTTTAATTTGTATTCCTTTGATTTCTGATGGAGTTAAACTTTAAAAAATATGTTTAAAGCTATTTATATTTTTGTGTCATTTGAATACTCATGTTCTTTGCACATTAATCATCTTTTTCCCCCCTCTGTTAATTCTGTATTGTCCAGTACTCTTTCATTCACAGAAGAAAAAAAAAGAAGCCAGTTGAATTAGCTGAACTAGGGGAGGAATTTAATGGTTGGTTTAATTGTTAAGTCAAGTAATGATCTGAGCTTAAATAATATTTTAGACATTTCACTCTCCTTCCCTCCCTTTCCCTTCTCCTTCATCTTTTGGTTCTGTTTTCCCTTATTGTTGGCTTCATTCTTGGTAAGAAATTTTTTTTTTAATTGGGGAATTGGGGGGAAGGGAACAGATAAGTTGCTGTCATTTTGTTCTTCAGTCTAGTTGTGGAGGACATCGCTTCACTGGCCCATGTTGGCACCATCATTGCGCTCTTCCCGGGGGGGGGGGGGCCCTCTGGCATCCCAGGCCAGCTCTTAACCAACGTGCCACTCAGCCGGCCCTTGGTAAGAATTTTTTGATGTTATAGGAAAGATGGCTCCTGGGATCTTCTAGATTGTGCTTTTAAAAGGAGAAGGGATGGTTCTCATTCTCAGAACCTGTATTAACTACCCCCGCAGAATCTGACCTAATTGGGTCACATGCTCATGCCAGAGGCAACTGCAGTGTATAGCGTATTTTTATTGGCCTACTCTGTGATTGATACACTCATAGAATCATACTAAGTAGAAAAGTTTTCAGTAGGAAGAGATTTAGGACAGATAAAAAATGTGTCCATAATAGTTTCTAAGAGCTCTTTACATCTTAAAGATATATAAGTTTAAACTCCCAAGTTCATGAGGGCAAGGATTTTTGTCAGTTTTGCTCACTAGCATATCTTAAGAACCTAGAATAGGACCTCACACATGGTAGGCATTCAGTAAAAGTATGTTGAATAAATGAATAAGGATATTAATTTTATTTATGGTGATTTTGATGTTCAGAAGGTTGAATTTCATGTAGCCTAATCTATCATTCTTTTCCTTTATGAGTTCCTTTTTCTTCTTTTTATTTTTTTGCTTTTATATCTAGAAACTTTTTATATGATGGTTTGTTATATTTTAAGCCCATTTTAAAAAAGAGTTAGCACAAAGATTATATTCAAATATATATTATTCACATTTTTGGTTAGATAATTCATGACTTTTTTCTGGATATATATGTATATTGTGCTTTATGCAGCAAAATTTGAAACTTTATTGATTTACTTTTTTAGGTAAATGTAATGGTTTAAAATCTGCTGCCACTCACTATATCAANTGGCTTGGGACGCCACCTCTGAGCAGCAGGGCCCCGTTTCAGATCCCACATGAGGGCCAGCTAAGATGGTGAACAACAGCTCGACCTGGAGCTGGGCTTCCGTGAGTCACCAGCGACAGTGTAAGCTGCAGCCCCTGTTGCAATGGGCTGCCATGAGCTACCGTGAGTGGCTGGCAGCCAGTGTGAGCGGCTGTGAGCTGCCGTGAACGGCCATCCAATGGCTGGCGTCTGATCTGCCTCATCTAGGAAGAATGCAATGATAATACCAACATGGGCCAGTGAAGCAACGTCCTCCACAACTAGACTGAAGAACAAAAGGGCAGCAACTTGTCTGTTCCTCTTTTCCGATTCCCCAATGCTGTTCCCCTCCTCCAATTCCTCAATAAAATCTTTAAAAGAAAAAAAAAAAGATGCATAGTTTCTTAATATGATACCAAATATATGTTTATCAGTTCTAAAGTCATAATTATGCTTAGTAGAGACACTGGTGTTTCTGTGACAAGTGTGAACAAGCTAAGGATGCCAATTATCACTTTTTAACATTGAACTACAGTACAGACAGAAAGATTTTAAGACAACTTGGGGGTAGTGAGGGGAACGAAGGAAAAACCACTTATTTTGATTACAGGGATTCACCAAGATTTGTCATACCATTCCTTTTTCAAGGTTATGTAAAAAAAGCAAAGGAAAACAAAACAAAAAAACCAAAACCCTAATATGGGAATAATAAGTAGGAAAGAGAAGTAAGTATCAGAAAATTTCTGTTTTCTATTCTTTAAAAATCAGGAAAATATAGACTCCGTGATGAAGATCTAAGCTGAGAGAAGACAACAGAGTGAGTTGAAAACTTTTTTACTAAAAAATCACCTGAAATAAAACAAAGCTGGATAAGAAAAGATTAAATTAATTGAATTAAATCAATTAAAATCAGCATTAGAAGTACTAAAGTGTAGACTTGAAACTAAAGAAAATGAAATCAGTGATATAGGGAAACAACTTAAGAAGCTCTGCCAGCATGTAGAAATAGAATAAAGAAAGTAAAATTATGAAAAAAGTAAATAAGCCTCCTGGAGGAAACAGGTCTTAATGAGGACTTATTCTAAAGAAATGTTTGAAATAAGAAAGCTGATTGTAACAGTGAATTGAGAGTAAATGAATATTTGTAGTTAATCTTGCTTATATATTTGTAAATTTTGTTTTCCTTGGAGAGAGAGAGTTTACAGATCCTGAGTGACAGTGTCATCATTAGTGGCACTGATAACTTGGGAAATATACAGTCAAGTATTTTAGAATTTAAGATATGCCTTCCACTTTTCAAATTACTTGAAAAACTAAAGATCAAAGACAAATGTTTCTTAGAGCAAAAGCCAAAAAAGTAGAAGAAACAGCAAAAATGTATGAATAAAAAGCATGAAACAAGATCAGGCATGTCAATGACAGGTAATATAAATGGGTTAAGTTTCTCTGTTACAAACCAAAAACTTCTTTTGATATGGCTGAGTAAGTTCCTGGCTGAATGACCTTCCTGCAGACAGCAATAATAAATTCTGGACAAAATACATAACACAATTACCTGAAAGTCCTAGAGAGTGGAAAAGGGCAGGCAGAATCTAGAGGGGAGACAAAACTTGGAAGAGGTCCAAAATGGAGAGAATTTTGTTTTTTAAATGGCTTTCATCTTTAGAGGAAGTAAAGTCAAATGCTGGCAGAGTTTGGGGCAAGCACTATTGCTAAAAAAAGAAAAGTAAATCCCAGAGAGAACTAGATTGATGTAGCCCCAAATTCTATGTATAAACCCTGCCCAAATCTCTGACTGAACTATGAACTATACATTTACAGGGTAGACTACCAGGATAGGGTACTGATCTGAGATCTGAGGTTGTAGTTTGAGTCTAATTAAGGTAATTTCTTGCTAAAACAGAAATAGCAACACTCTTCAGAAAATGAAACAGAATCCACAAGGTCCAGGATACAATTCCAAAGTGACAAATGAGGAAAATATGACCCTCCCTCAAGAAAAAATAAAATCAACCAAGACCAACCCCAATATGACTTATATATTGGAATTAGCAGATAAGGACTTTAAAGAAACAATTATTACTATAATTGTTGAGGAAATGGGGTAAAGAAAATATGTTCCTAATGAATGAAAAGATAAGAAATCTCAGCAGAGAAATAGAAACCATAAAAATTACCAAATTTAAGTTCTGGAACTAAAAAAGGCAATAACTTAAGTAAAAGTTCACTTGATATGAGCTTAGTAGCAGAGCAAAGAGCCAAAGCACTTAAAATTATCCAATGTGAAGAAGAGAGAGAAAAATGATAGAAGAAAAACAGCAGAGCTTAACAATTTGTAGGCCATGACAAGTATTCTAACATGTTTCTGATTGGAATCTCAGAAGGATGAAGAGAGAATGGGGCAGAAAAACTTTTGAAGAAATAATGACTGAAAATTTTCCAATCTGGGGAAAGATAAATTTATAGATCCAAGAAGGTCAGTGAACTTCAAGCAGAATAAATACAAGAAAACCCTGCTTAGGCATATTGGAGTCAAACTGCTAAAAACCTAAGGTAAAGGGAAGATCTAGAAAACAGCCAGAGAATAGTGACATATTAATTATGGGGAGCAAAGATTAGATTCTGATGTCTTCCATTAGACACTATGGAGGCCAGAGACTGGAAAAACATCTTTAAAATGTTGGGGGAAAATTGTCAACCTAGATTTTTATATCCAACAAAAATTTCCTTAAGGAATGAAGACAAAATACATTCTGAGCTCAAAAAAAACGAAAATAATTGATCACCATCAGACCTGCACTACAAGATATTCTAAATGAAGTTCTTCAGGTACAAAGGAAATGATATTAGACAAATACTTGACTCCTCAAGAATAAATGAAGAATAGCAGAAATGGTAAATATTGTGGTAAATATAAGAAACTAATGTTTCCTTTTTAATTTCTTAAAAATAGAAATGATTGTTTTATGTGAAATTATAACATTGTCTTGTGGGGTTTATGATGTATGTAGGTGTGATTCATGACACTTATATGATTAAGTGAGGAGTTTAGGTGGATTTATATGGGTACTAGGTTTCTACATTTTTTGGGGAAAGAGGTATGATGTTAATTCTAAGCAGAGTGTGAAAAGTTAAGGATATATATTGAATCCCTAGAACAACAACTAAAATAAAGGCCAATTGACAAAATGAAAAGGAATTTTAAAATATATTTAAATAAACCAAAAAAGGCAGGAAAAGAACAGAGGAAACAAAACAGAGGGGACAAAAGGAAATAAAATAATAGACCTAAATATTAAATGTTAATGAACTAAACATTGCAATTAAAAGGTAGAGATAGGGCCGGCCGAGTGGCTCAGTTGGTTAAGAGCTCGCTCAAGAGTTTGAACTCTGAGCAACAGCGGTTCGAGTCCAGCCCGAGCTGAGCAGCNCGTTTTTGATTCCGAAGATATTAGAATACTGAAGGAAACTGAATAAAAAAAGTGTTATTTCTTTCTATCTCTTTTTAGGGAGACTGGATACATGTTTTACTAATATGGTTAAAAAAAAGATTTCTGATGAGCAGAATAGCATGCAAAATTCTCCTCTATAAGCTATCAATATCATTTCAAAAATAGTTTTGACCGTTTTTGTAAAACAGGAAAGCTATTAAAAACTGCTAATAAAAAATAGGTGCTTATTTTTGTGCTAATACTAATTACTGATAATGCATGCTTATGTTTGTCACTCATTACATGGCACCATACCAATCAGTGGATGACTGAGACTCAAGCACTTACACATGTAAATTAACTATTAGATTTTTTTTTCTTTTTCACTTAAGTGAGTCATGATGGAAAGCAACTCTAGGTCATAAA